ATATTGATTATGTGTATTTCCTGTTTTGTGTCTTCACTAGTCGATATTAACGCTGTTTGGTTGTGTGTTTGCAGCCAAAGTGCGGCGGCTGTACGACATAGCTAATGTGCTACGAAGCCTGAAGCTCATTGAGAAAGTTCACGTGGCAGAAGAAAGGGGGAGGAAACCGGCGTTCGAATGGGTCGGCCCTGACGATTTCCCACAAGTCATAGGTATCACCAGAACTCCCTGAAAATTTGGCCCTCAGTTATAAGGTGTAGTCGTAGCGTTCGTGTTTTCTTAGCACTTAACTCTTCCTCTAGACTCGGAGAACACCTCAACCGCATGCCCACCCAAGAAGAAAGGCGTACTTGAACCACATGCGTCCGCCGACAACTGTGCCAAAAATCTCTTCTCGTCACCGGGGACCAAACGCAGCTTCACTCGCCACCCGTCCCTCATAAAGCTCGCCAAGAGCATTCAGGATGATCGACGCAAGATCAACTCGGCCCCCAGCAGTCCTGTCAAGAGTAAGCAGAAAAGACATTTCTTCATTTAAAAAAAAAAGTTCCTTCCCCAGCAAATTATTATGAATGATGCAATGAAGCTTCTTAATTTTCTTTTCTTTTTTTAAATTTACTCTTCTGTCTTCATCTGATTCCTCAGTGAACAGTGACTTCCCAAACAAAATGGCCCAGCTTGCTGCTATTTGTAAGATTGAACTCGACCAGGAGTCAGCGTAAGTTTAGTTCCATTTAGTCTGTCGCTCATCCTAAGCTAAATCTTCAGTAATAACTCTGTACGTTTTACCTTATTTGGCTTTTGACCCACAGAGATTGCTTGCACGTGCACAAACTTACCTCATTATATTAAACATTTTGTCGTGTTTCAATGTGAGCATCCACTTTTAAAAAGAGCATAAGAGGTATTCTTTAAATGATTGTCCTGCTTGTGTTGCAGGACTGGAGATGAAGGCCTAAAGCCTGCTGCTGCAGAGGCAAACACAGGCTACGTGTTACAGCTTCCCACTCCTACTTCAGTGGAACCATCTCATATACCGTTACAACCTCCAACTCAGGAGCAGGCAGTCAATACTACTGCCAACCCGATCCCACACGCCATGCTGGCAGCACAGCCATCAGGGTCTGTTGCCTACATCCCCGCGCAGTGTTCGCCCCTGATCCCTGTACTGTTACCTCAGCAGCGAGGGAGCGGGCCCTACGCCGTGTATTTGAACCCTTCTTCGCTCAGGTCAAATCCTCTGGCCAGGCCGCAGCCAACTAGCCTGGCAGTGCGCTCTATGACTTTTGAAGATAAGACTGGGCAGAGCCCAAATGGCCAGTCGGCAGCTAAGAGCCACACAGCCGCCGATGCAAGTCCCTCGGGGGTCAAAAGGCTGCGTTCAGAGTTGGCATCCGAGGGCAGCCCCTCTAAAGCTAAGAGGTCTGACCCCACCTTTAAGGTGAGAAAACTTAAATGTGCCATTTATGTAATAATCTGGTAATAACAACACAGAACTATGTGACTGTATCACCCCGCACTGTTCATTTCTCAGCGCCTGTCTTTGTTCACCTCCTAGGACACCTCGCCAAAGCTCTGTGAGATCCTGCAGGCCCGCCTAAAGGCCCGTCGTGTCGGTCAGCTCACCAGTCGGCCCTCGCCTCGCGCCCTCCACCTGGACCCAGAGTTTGTCAACACCCCCGGCGGGGCTGTAGCCAATCAGACATTAGAGCAGAGTTTGGAACTCCTACTGGACAGAGAAGAGAAGGTGGCAAATTCTGACAGCGAGGCGGGATTAACACCGGTCAGGGCTGTTCCTCTCACACCCAGACAGCTTCATGCTGAGGTAGAAGTGCTAAAAGAACTTCAAGGATCAGAGGATGATCTGTTAGTAGGTGTTCATTCGTTGATTTTCTTTTGTTCTACGCTACCTATCCAGACTTTAATCCCAGCTGGATACTTGATCCCAATCTCCCAGCAGTCCCTCATCAGCTACAAGGAAGTTCAAAGTTCAGGAGCAGAAAGCAACAAGATCTCACCTCCCAACATCTACCAAACACCAACTGCAGGTAAATATTTTATTAAATGTGCTGCTCGAGCTCTGACTGTACATAGATTTTATACTTAAACTGTCAAGAAAATGTTAGGTCTCCAGTTATCATTGTGTGCAGCACAGTAAAGATTGCATAAACAACATCCAAACAACAGAACTGACTTCTTTTACTCTGTCTACAGGCTCCAGACCTGCCCCAGCCCAGGAGATTACGCCCACCAACCTTCGGCTTCAAAGACCCACTAACGCAGCCTCTCCACAGGCCACCCAGCAAGCCCACCGCCTCAACAGTCCCAGTCCTGCCATCTTAAACTTCACCCTGCAGAACCTCGGTCTGATCTCCAGCTCCAGCCCAGGAAGTGCATTTGCTACACCTCAGACTCCAGAGCGTGCCAACACCCTGACCAGTCCATTGCCGAGTCCCCTGACTCTGCAGCAGAGGGCCATGGTTTTCATCAAACCTCTGTCCCCTGTGCACATTCAGCAGACTGTATCCCCACATCAAGTGGCCCTGATCGGTGTACAGCAGGTATAAACAAACAGCGTGGGCCTCTAAACCAGACTTAATCTTTTCGGCTTTCAGACTTCATGGCACACATGGATTTACATGCATGTCATCAGTTTTCTTGGCGGTGTTTTTGAGTTAGTTTCAGTTGTCTCACTGATTTAACAGTTTGAGAGAGGTGCTTCTGATTGTCTGATTAGACCTGAAACAAGTGTTTTATTATTGAGGTGATAGGATATAGTGTTCATATAAGATCAATGAAATGAATATACTAATTTGGTTGAGAAATATTAGTCTAACTAATTATTGTCTGTTTTCTAGCCCCTGATGGCCACCCCTAAAGGGAGCGGGGTCCCCCAGCACAGCTTCTTTCACACACCGGTCTCCCTTTCGCCTCTGGCTGCTGTAGTAAACACTGCCGGACAATCATCCATCAAAACTGTACACATCCCTCAAAGAAAGCTGGACGTTACCACTGATGAGTCCTGAGGGCCCTGAAGGATCTTAGAGTACATATTTGTGTGTGTGGGTGTTGTTTATGTTGTGGGTGGATGGGTGGTTTTTTTTTTCTCCCCCTTTTTAACCTGTTTAGCATTTACACAGTATTCATTACCTCTGAAAACATTTCACAGCAGCTTCACTGCCTTCATTCTTATGACAGCCAGCTCTAAAAAAGCAGGTTTATCTCGATATTCATCAACACTACCGTCGTGCTCATTGTGATGCTTATGTGGTCTGTTTCACAGGAATAGAATGGCATGGGGAGAAATGCAAGAATAAGATTTTTTTTTTTTTGTTTGTTTTGGGTTTTATTTGTTTGCTTTGTTTTTCCATTTCTGCTAATATGGATATTTTTATTCCTTTTTTCAGTTTGCCAGTACTAGTAAAATGACATCAGCACTTGAGTAAAATCTAGCGAGATCACTTTTGCACATACAGCATGTACATGTTAACTGTTACTCCTTGAATGGAATTGCTGAGAACCTGTGAATATTTGTAAGACATCCTAAGACAAATGAGAAATTGTGAGATTAATTTATAAGAAAATTACACTTGTGTCTGATGTCCTGCTAAATTTAAAAATGCTTAATAAATTTTAAATATGTATTTTGTAAAAAAGAAAAGAAAAAAAATGCATCCTTTGTCGCCGTCGTCGCCAACTTATGGACAGATCGCATTTACATTCCCTCTCTAAATCCCTTCATCCCCAATTGTTTGTGGCAGATGGCTGCCCCACCCTGAGCCTGGTTCTGCTGGAGGTCAAAAGTTTTTCCTTCCCACTGGTGCCAGTGGCACAGGTGGGTCTAAAACTATTTTTAAAACTGGGAAATGGGACTAGCACATTATTTCTGGGTCTTGATCATCTGCTTTCATAGTTTGAAGGATCCACTGCAGAGTTGTTCTGACCTTTATCCTAAGATGAAACCTTTATATCGTAATAGGAACGGTCTGTCCTGGGATTATGAGGCCCCCACCCATAAGACACAAGGGGCTCACAGAAGAGTTTAAGTATTAAAATGATTTCAAAGAAATAGTTAGCAGATGTGCAGATTTTGGATAGATACATTAGCTGGCTCTGTATTACTATCGTCAAAAAAACCAGTGAGTGTTCTGTCCCTCCTATAAGCTTCCCGTACATGGTCTTGATTGCTCAATCTTGAAGCTCTACTGTTTACTCTGCACTTTGTTTTTGTTTTCTTTAATTTGTCACCAGAGCTTCTGAAGTTAAATTTTATTAAACAGAATGCATTAACATAAAAATGTTAAATTAATTAAGCTACTTTACGTGGATCTGTTGTGGACATTTTATTCATATTGATTTTGTTTACTGGCTATTCTATTCTGTTCAATTTCATATGTCTATTTGCTACTTGTTCATGAGATATTTTTAGGCTCTTATCTCTTGATGGCCTAGCAGCTGACTGGAGACAGTCCTGAAAGCCTTCTCTCTTGAGCTTAAGTATGAAGTATCACTTCAGTAGAATAAGTAAAGAGATCTGACGTGATTCAAACGTCTGTGACAAGCTGTGTTTACTTTCCCTTGTAGGAAGCTTAGGACCAATCTTTAACATTTGTTCTGCAATTCATTTCAATTCAGTTATATTTATATAGCACCAGTTCACAGTAACAGTCACCTCATGGCAATTTATATTGTATGGTGAAGATCCTAAATATTAGAATGAAACTTCCAACAATTGCATGACACCCACGACCCTACAACTAGATGTGAAGATCACCAGGTCACTACCGCAGCTCAGCCATGTGTTCACCATCAGTGGTGCAACCAATAGTTATATTTAAATACACCATTCATGCATATAATCCTGTAATGCTTCTCTGCTGGTAGTCAGACTTTCCCGCACTCTCTCTGAGGGCAGAGCAAATGTCTGAGTGGCTGATGTTCAGGCCTCTTTCAGCTTGTGATGAAGGGTCAGAGGGCCCTGCTTAGTCACAAGTTATTTTAGGAGGATACTTTCATTGAAGTGTCACCAGTGGACCGTGGTGATGGTGAGACAGTATTTAAACAGCCCAGAAGCGCTCATCACCAGTCAGCCACAGAAGCAAGCTTGGAGTCAAGGTAAGGACCTGCTGCCTTTTGTATTAAAGCTCCCTTTCAGGGTTTGAGTAGTTACTCCAAGCTAAGTAAAGTACTTGATGATACTTTTACTTACTACTTTAATTTTTCTTGCTAGAACTCTGTTTACATTGACGCATTTATTATACACAACCATGAACGGCTGGCGGCACTTTCACATGAAATTTAGGATCTGTCTCAGTAATATTCAGTTGTTTTCAGTGTCATTTGAAGGAGAGACAGCTCAGCTTTTGTCTGTCCAATATGACAGTTAAGCCCCTGTTCCTGGAATATCACATACCAATGCTGTGAGGTGATGGGCAGCCTTTGATATTAGTGCAAACTGGGATGTCAGACGGAAGGCCAGCGAGGGCAGAGCTGCCATTCCTGAGTAAATGTTAGGATGGATGTTAGAGTTAAAAACTGACACATCGCAGTGAGACAATATCAGAACTGATTTGATTTGAAATCTTCGTAACCCTGACGACGTGTATTCACGTACATGCAGGAATGTACACATAGAGATTACACACACACAACCACCAGAAAACATCGAGATTTTATTTGTTTGTTTAGGTGAGGAGATGATTTTTAACCTTTTTTAAATTCAGTATAGTATCCTCTTTCAAATTTTATAAATGTAAAAATGTAGATAAGGTAGATCCTCTAAAACAGAGATTCCCAAAGTGTTGGGCCCGCCCCTTGGGGAGGAGCAGAGCCCAGAGCCATTACCGAGGAGGGGGCTGGGGGGGGCAGTGGCAGTATGAAAAGAAAAAAAAAAGAAAGCTTGGACCCTGCAAGCATTACGGACAGCTTTTTGACGGGGCTTCCACACAAACGCAAAGCAGGAGATGAAGCATCGTCAAATCTGTTTCCAAACCAACTTCATTCTAAAACAAAAACTAGAAAAATGGTGAAGCATGTCTGCCCTTTGGCTTCACCTGCACAAGTGCCAAGGTAGGTCTCCCCTGCAGAATTGGTTTTCCCTGTCGGGAGCACATGCTGGGCTCTCCAAATCACGAACACTATCCCACATTCTTGATTTTTAGTTCACAAACACTTCTTATAATGACTAACTAATCCTGAAATTTTGGAGATGTTAGCTGTTTATACAGTAAAGTTACAGCGGGATAATAATGTCAGGCTGATCTTGCCGTAATTTGTCCCCCCTGTCCAAATCACTGACAAACAGTATGCCACAGTTGTTTATGTTTTTTAACCCATTTTGCACAGAGAGACATTTAAAAAAATGTATTGATAGCAATGTTCAATATTATTACACAGGAGAAAACAACTACAAGTAAAATTACACCATGAGGCCTCTGCTTTTCTAATTGGAGGGACAGTAACTGCGTGTGTAGTCTATATGTAAGCATGTAAAAACTGAAGATATTAAGATTAGCAGTAACAGTATTTTGTCTCTACCTGCAATTCATCTCATGTAAACCATAACATGGCGCACAGTCTGACGTAGAAAAAGGCACATACCTTTGACATTACGTGACAAACTGTATTCCTCGTCCACACAAAACCCAAAAACAGAGTTTTTAAAAAATCTCAGTTTTCGGTGATTTGAAGCGCCGTTTACGTGTGGACTCAAACGCATAGAAACAGCTGCGTTTTCAAAGGTGTAGGTTCACAAAGTTAGTAGTTTATTACTACTAATTTACTTGTAGTAAATGACTACCTGTAATTTATTGCAGTTTACTTTTTTGTTCAATCGTTTACTAAATGTTTGAGGTGTGAAATAAACCGCAATGGAGTTTGAAAACAAAATATGGGTGTGTGTTAGGTGGTGGGGGGCGCGAAGATTTTTCTTGGAAACAAAGCGGGGCCTAGCAAAAAAGTTTGGGAACCACTGTCATAGGAGGTCATCTGACTGTTGATGTTTTCTCTGTATTATTGTAGGGTCATTACCTAACAATATAAAAAAGAGGTGACTATTGTTGTGATTTGGTGCTACATAAATAAAACTGAATTGAATTGGATTTTTAATATGATTACATACATGTACAGAATACTGGAAATCAAGTCAGTCCATACATTAACACTGATTTAATTGCACGATGTTTTACTTGTCTATGAGTAAGCACATGCCAACAACAGTGGGAAGGAAAATTCCCTTTTAACAAGAAAGCTCCAACAAAACATGGCATACCAAAGGGCAGCTATCTGCTGAGAGCAGTTGGGGTTGAAGGAAGTAAGACAGAAAAAAAACTCCTTGAGGGGACTGTTGTTTTGATTTGGGGCTGTATAAATAAAATAATTGTATAAATAAAATAATTGAATTCAACTGAATTGAAAAAAGAAGACCAACCTTAGGCAAGTGGTGTATAAAAACATAGTGAGTGTAAAGAGTGAGGGAAGAAGAAATGCTCAGTGCATTATAGGAAACCCTTAGCAGCCTAGGCCTAATGCAGAGTAGGATTCAGGGTCACCTGATCCAGGCTAACTTTATCAAAAAGGAAGGTTTTAAGCATAGTCTTAAAAGTAGAGAGGGTGTTTCAAATCCAAATTGGGAATTGAAATCATATTTACATTTCAGTTCTAGCCTGGAAAACAAGACAACAGATCAATAGATTGTTTGAACTACTTTATTCATTTATTTTGATTTACTCTTGAAGATGCCAAACTGGGGAGGAGGAGCCAAATGTGCAGCCTGTGAGAAGACAGTGTACCATGCAGAAGAGATCCAGTGTAATGCAAGGAGCTTCCACAAGACTTGCTTCATCTGCAGTAAGCAGACCCGCACTGCCCCAACAGAGGGTGTCATGGTGGATCTGGAGAATCATGCAGATATGTGATAGAAGTAATTTACACGTAAACCCCCCCTCAGCTATTTTCCTCCTTCCATTCACCTTTGTGTATCCCATCTGGGCCTGCATCATTACTCAGCAGTCCCTCTGTATTTTTCTGTGTTTAATGACCTGCCTGCAAAGCTTCTTTGATTCTTCCACCCTGCTTCTGTTTGGCTTGCTTGCTGATTTCATACAGCCACAAGTGCTTAACTGGATCACTCAGTGGCAGTTTATTTTCCCAGTTTACTGTCCCCTACACCAAAACATACACTCTCCAGCTGGTCAGTAGCCTGTGTGACTGCTAGATTGTTCCACTGGGAGCTCAGAAAGGCCTCTGTGAAAAGCTCACCCATCTTCTGAGTCTTCATCTTTTCTCGAACTTTCACCTCATGATCCCCTCTCTTTCTACAAATAGAAATACAAGACATCAGACTATGTGTAATGTTACTGCTGACTGATAACACTAGCTAGGTGGGTGCTTTATTTAACCTCCATTATACCATCATGACATTCTACTGAAAACATCTCACACAGTCTCATGGTCAGCATGGTACTAAATTTGTGTGTTTCCTTCACACAAGTGAGCTGCAGAAAGGGGCTGGACAGTACAACAGTTGCAGCGCATGAGTCTGAGATTTACTGCAAGTCCTGTTATGGCAAAAAGTACGGGCCGAAAGGATATGGGTACGGGCAAGGAGCTGGCGCTCTGAGCTCTGATCCTCCTGGACAGGATGCAGGCCCTCAGCCTCATGAGTAAGTGTTCATGACAGATAAAGACAGAGCACCTTATAACCTTAACCTTAACTATGACCGAAACAGTGGTGCAGAGGCAAATAACCTTAAAGAGAAAAATTGCTTTAAAAAATCTACTTTGACCAAAGATGACATCACACAGCTTCTCTTTTCTAGCTCCAAACCTCGACCAGCCTCCTCAAAATCCACCGCCAATAAATTGTCCCAGAAGTTTGGAAGTTCAGATCGCTGCCCTCGATGCTCCAAAGCAGTCTATGCAGCAGAGAAGGTGATGGGAGCAGGGAAGGTAAGGACCATCCTGTTATTCTTTGTGTGCATCTAAAGTATGACTTAAATTCAAAGTTACTTGCTGTTGCCCAATCAGACAAACAATTTAAATTCACACCTTGTATCTCTTCTAGATGTGTATTTTTATTGCTGATTATTGAGTACAGCAAAAATCAAAGACACAATACCAAAAAAAAACCCCAACCCAATCAGTTTGGACTCTTTAGGCCACTTAACGATGAAATCAAGGCTTAGCGCCTGATGTAAGTGTGCCACATGTTCCTTATGGGTCCACCAGCTGGCCAGGAATTCCTTCCCCAGAGCGGAGTCCACGCCAGCCTCATCTCAAGCAGACGAGGAGCATCCTCCTATCCCCCTCTTGTCCCTTCACTGGGCCCATCACATCCCAGCCCAGCTCGCATTCTGCATTGGAGTCCCTCATGCGATGCCACCACAGCTCCCCTCGCGTCAGCGTCCTGTAAATAAATAAATAGGGGCCAGAGCAATCATCCCGGAAGAGGCCCTGGCTTATAACTATGGCAGCCCTTTCCCAAAACGGCTGTGCCCGTCATACGACAGTGGGGAGAGTGTTACTCACATATGCAGGCAGAGGTACACATCTGCCCGGCGGTCGATTACACGCAGCGCCTCCCACTGTTGCACTTCTCACAACAGTCTCCCACTGTCTCCCAACTCTTTTTCACCTGACCTTCTTGCATTCCTCTTCATGTCTGGGGCTTCTCTCCTCCAGTGCTCAGCTAGCCTGCTTTAGGTCTTTACACAGCTGATAGGCCACCTCTAGACATACCCATACCTCAGCAGGTGATCCCTATCAGCTAATTGTCCCATGCTCAGCCAATCCACAGTGGATTAAAACAATGTCAAATAAAACACCAAAAACCATGCAATACAAACAGAAGAATAAAATCATAAAACTAAACTCGCAAATAAACTAAAAAAAATCAAAATGAAACCAATATAAAAGATAAATATAAAGTTCCACTGTGTGACAATATCATGTAAGGAACTTTGTAGCACTTTGTTATTAATAATCACAAATATGTGCGTCTTTAGCCTTGGCATAAAACCTGCTTCCGCTGCGTTCTGTGTGGTAAAAGCCTCGAGTCGACCACAGTGACAGATAAGGATGGAGAGCTGTACTGCAAAGGTACACATACACACACAAACACACACACATTGTAAAGATGGTTCTTGTTTATCTTCATTGCACTTTAAAACCAGAACATTTAATATTTAACCAGAACTACAGGAAAAAACCAAAGCAGCACACAGTACACACGGGTCATATTTGAAAACTACCTCTAATTGTTGATTATTGACTCAGTCAATTCTCGTTTTTCTCTGCAGTTTGTTATGCCAAAAACTTTGGCCCCAAAGGATTTGGACTGGGCAACGCTGCAATGCTGGAGGAACGACAGTAAAAACATGCTTTTAATAAGCCTCCCACTCATCGTGCGGCAGCTGTCTCAGGGAGACCTTTGCACTGCTGTAAATTCAAAGTTATTTTTAAAACTGGCTAAATTGTTCTTGTAATGGTTCAATGCAGAATAAAAGCATTTTATTACCTTAAAATTGGTTTTAATGCAGTTTATTAAAAACATCTTGAAAGACTAAGAGCAGAGCATAAGAACAAGAGCTCAACAGCTTTCTGTTGTCTTTGTTACATATTATAGTTTTGATGATAACAAACGTGCCTGAATGTATTTTGTCCCCTGTTATTGTTGTGGTGCAAAGACTTTTCTTGCTAAACTGAATTACTACATGTTATTTGCAATCATAATTCTGTGCGCCCCCTTAATAGGAATATCAAATCAGCAAGCGATAAACAAATACAATGAGTTAATATTTCCAGAAAAATTATGTGTTGGCAGCCAAGCAGAGCGACACTGGATGACTCGTTGAACCAACATCACAGTGGCTATCTCGTATTATTGAATTAACGGAGCTGACGACACACAGAAAAAACATTAATCAGATAAAAGTGTCTCCAAATCATGACTTACAATTAAATTTTAACAGAGTTACCTGTAACCTTGTTTTTTTGCCAGTCCTGTTTGGTTCTGTAGCAGTCAGAATTATTGTCGGAAGGCCAAGAATGATGCCCAATGGATTTGTTTTACCAAGTGGATCATCATGGCCTTGCCATATTATTATTTATTTTATTTTCGGTTGTTAGAGATGGGACAGACATGACTGAGGGATAGGAAAGGGAGAAAGAAAGAAAGAGAGGGAGGGAAGGAAGGAAGGAAAAACAGACGGGAAGAGAGACAGTGAGAAAGGGCACTTCAAAAAAATAATCTGGATCACCTGTTGAGAGAAGAAAAATCAGAAGAGAAAACAAACAAAAGAGAGAGCAACATAATAAACACAACACCATTGCAATAATCTAGCTAAGAGTAAATGACAGTAGATACTAAACACTGAATGTTATTGTGCAGCACGCAACATCAACAGCACGCAATGTGCTTTGAGGTAGCAGCCAAGAAAGGTGTAGTTTGTGTCTGTGAACACCCATGCGTACACCTGTGTGCACACACCCAAAGAGGACCATCGGAAGGGCAACCGTGCCACCCTCCTGGGAAGAGCTGAGGAGAACCCCAGACAAGGGGTCACCTGGCAGCGAGTGTGGTGAGGGGAGATAGGCCTCCATACCTTGGAGGGCCTGAGATGTACCCAGAGAGGTGGAGTCTCAGACCCAACCTGACATATAGACACAGATGAACAGGCACACACACAGACAAATAAATACTTGGCACTCACCCAACGTGGAGACAGACACAAATAGACACTGTACACACAATCACACTCCCCAAACATACTCTATACTAAGTATTTGTAACTAAGTAACCAAGTATTTGTACTTTGGTACTTCCTGCCTTTGCTCTTTGCTAAGATTTTAGAATCACTGTGGAAAGTTTTGAATTAGTACCTGGTTTTAAGGAATGAATACAATGAATATAAGTCGATCAAAAGTGCTCAAATACAACCACTCAGACTTAATAAACCAAAGGAAATCAGTTCAGTCAATTAAAATGTCAATTAAATTTTATTTGCAAAATACCTGTTGACAAGACGCTGCTTCAAGGCACTTTATATTGTAAGGTAAAGACCCTACAATATTACAGAGAAACCCAACAATCCGAAGACCCCCTATGAGCAAGCACTTGGCGACAGTGGGGAGGAAAAACTGCCTGTTAACAGGCAGAAACCTCCGGCAGAACCAGGCTCAGGAAGGGGCAGCCATCTGCCGCGACTGGTTGGGGGTGAGCTAGTGACACAGATGGAATGTGTTCATGTCACTTCCTCACAGCAGACAGATGTTATTGTCTGTGAAGGTTCTCAGTCATCCAGGTCATCGTAGTCAAAGGAGCTTGTAAAGAAAAGTGTCTGGACTTCTTTAAGTTGCTTGAAGACGTTCCACCTCTCATCCGAGAAGCTTCTTCAGTTCTGAAAAGACAACTGAAGAAGCTGTGCCTTCTGCGCTTCTGCCTGCTTTTGTTTGACGAGCGCCAGTTGATTTTTCACAGCAAAATACCTGGTCTGAGACTTGGATAGCTCTGCTTGAATCATTTCTCGTTCGCTATCCTTCTCTTCTGTGTCTTTTCTCAGCGATTTTATGGTGTCCCTGACTTTGCTGATCACGGACTTGGCCTCAGACACCTCCTTATTAAGTGTTTCATGCTGAGGCATGAAACACTTAATAAAGTAAACAGACTACCTTTATAATCCCAAAGATTTCGAAAAACACCCAGTCCAACCATTTTGAAATAATATTTATATACTCTAACATCACTTTTGCTCTCGACATACTTTTGAAGAGCTCAACACAATCAGTATTTCGTCCATTATCAATCTTATACTTTCTACTCAAGTAAATTTCCAACTTTGCTTGGCCCAAGAAAAAAACAAAACAGCAATTGTCCCTTTTTTCTTCTTCCCCTTTGTCATATGAAAAACCAAAAATAAAACACTGTTGTGCGAAAACTTCTCCAAAGGATTCCCGAATACCATTAAGTACTGAAAATCAATCAATCAATCTGAAACACTGTACAAAACAATGAAAAATAGTTTCTCTCATTGAACAAAAAGGACATGCATCTGAAGACCCAGGGTTTATGATGGACACAAAAGCATTTACCGCAATGATACCATGTAAAATCCGCCACTGTAAATCACCAGCTTTCTTGGTCAATGGTGGCTTGTACAGCGACCCCCATACAGGGCCCACATCAAAACCAACCTTAAAATGTTCTCACCAAGGTTTTGAACTTCGATATCAAGTGGCAGCACGGTGGCACGGTGGTTAGCACTGTTGCCGCACAGCAAGAAGGTCCTGAGTTCAATTCCACCATCAGGCCGGGGTCTTTCTGTGTGGAGTTTGCATGTTCTCCCTGTGTTTGCGTGGGTTCTCTCCGGGTACTCCGGCTTCCTCCCACCGTCCAAAGACATGCAGCTTGTGGGGATAGGTTAAAAATTGCCACTAGGTGTGAATGGTTGTCTGTCCTTGTGTGTTGGCCCTGCGACAGACTGGCGACCTGTCCAGGGTGTACCCCGCCTCTTGCCCTATGACAGCTGGGATAGGCTCCAGCGCCCCCCGCAACCCTGAAAAGGATAAGCGGAAGCGGATGGATGGATATCAAAACTACTATGAGTTTCTTGAGCAAACGCTATGTCAATGCATTTAGATTTTAAAAGGTCAAAATACATCGCCCTTTTTCCATGTCCCTTGCACCATTAAGGTTCAAGGATGGGATTTTAAAGCTACTCATAACCATACAGAAAAAGATCCATAAAAAAACAAGAATACAGCATTGTATCTGCTGTTTTTCCCCTGTCAGGTATAGCATCAAACTCTGGCTCTAATTTTCTGCATCAGTTTTCGCAGTCTATACACTTCAGTGTCCCTCAAACCATCAGGGGTCCTTTGTCGTATCAACCATTTAGCTGAATCAAGAAACAACTCTCTATCAGGGAAAAAAAATCTTGTATAACCACATCTCGCTTCCCTTTGGTTACTTCCAAAAAACTCTTGTTCTAAACTGTACCCATTACTTCTCTGACCATCAGGAATAGAAGAGTCAGATGACTCTCTATCACTATCACTCTCTCTTCCACCCTTTTCGTTTGCCTGCATCTTTTTTGGCTTTGCACCTTTAGAGTCCTTAGGTTTCCTTTTTGTATGTGGAATCTTAAAAACACTTTCATTATCCCCAAACAAATTCCTGTCACTGTGGACCATTCCATCCACATCCATTTCCTGTTGCACTCCTACTGGCGTAGTTGTGTGGCCAAACTCCTCACACACTTCAGCAGAAGTAGCGGCAACCTCACTGGTCTCACATCCTGAAAACTCCGCCCGTCTTTCCATCTCCGACATTGAATGCTGGGGCTCCATCCCGTGTGTCACTTGCAGAAACACCTTTGCCCCCCTTACCTGCTGAGACCCTTGCCAAAGTACCTGCCGAAGTCCCCTCCCCTGCGTCGTCAGAGCCCTGCACAGTTTCAGCTTCATTATGCACCTTCTCAGGACAATTACGGACCGAATGCCCTTCCTGATGGCACCCAAAACATCTCATGGTTTCCGTTGTTGCAAAAATTGTGTAGGCAAACCCGTCAACCTTAAATTTCATAACTATGTTCAGCTCTTCATTCTCATTGTTTGGAATCATATACACCTGTCGGCGAAATGAAACAACATGCCTTAACTTCGCAGATTTACACCCAGAAGGGAGCATAAACATAGATGACACAATCTGACCATGACGTAACAAGTCTTTCAGCAAAATATCATCACTGATGAAAGGCGGCAAATTAGACAGAATGATCTTCTTTGCCGGATTCATTAGAGGAAAGACCGTGCTATACGTAGGGGAGAGTGAGGTAAGATGAGCCAGTGGGTAAGTTGAACCACCCCTTGTATCTAGGTAACTGTGTACATGTTTTATCATGTGACCATAAATCCAGGAAGCACTCATCATTTCCATCCTGCTATATTAAAGAGGAGCACATTGGAGAAGGGGTAAGTCTGTATTACACAAAAAAAAGTTTTTTACTTGTCAAAGTAAAATTTCTGCATATCAGGTAAATTGACTGTAATATTAAAACAAACGTATCTGTGTCTAAAATGATATATTATACATGTTGGTGGGTTTCTAAAATATAATATCATCTGAAGAAGTTTTCTAAAGATTAGCCTAAATTGCTAAGCTAGCCCGTTTTTTTCAAAATGGTGGCTATGGGGCAAAGTGAGCCAAAGGCTATGGGGTAAATTGATCCAATGGTTCAACCTACCCCACCATAAGGCACTGAAATTTATTTAAGGCTCTGACTTATTAAATAGTATTTTAGTTCAGTATACTGAACCCTTTTGTTGTATTTGTCATATGTTAACTATTATAGAAAAGATATCATGCCAAGGACCTACAGACGGAAGACCAGCTGGGGCTCAACACCCCTGGAGGAGATTGAAAGGGCAGCGAGTGAAGTCAAGGGAGGAAAGTCCATAAGATCAGTGGCTAAAGAAAGACAAATTGACAGGTCAACACTCAGGAGATATATTAAAAAGAGGGACACATAGGA